CTGAGCGCCGTGGCTGAGCACCGTGGCTGAGCACCGTGGCTGAGCACCGTGGCTGAGCACCGTGGCTGAGCACCGTGGCAGCTCTGTCGGGAGGGCATGGATAGGGACCAACAGGTCCTGGAGACCAACCCGTCCATCCTGCCACTCTGACCAGGAGGGGACTGGTTCCTGTCACCCTCCACAGTGACTTTGCTCTCCTGGCCTCCCCAGGACCCTCAGCTGCTCCACGGAGGACCCTGGGCCCTGGGGTGACCACACGCAGGCACGGCTGCCTGGCTTATGCTGGAAGCAGAAGGGCCACTCTGGACAGCAGGTCTGTGTGGTGTGTCCCGAGGTCCTGATGCCCATGGCCCAGCCCCAGGACGGTGACTTACTGGGTCTCCTCTTGGCCCCCGCATGCCTGGGGTCCCCCGAGGTCCTCTTTCTCCAGGGCCACCCTGCATGGAGGAAGGGAAAGCTCTGGGCAGGATCTCACTGGGCAGGTGGGCTGGAGGCTGGTGGTGGTCTCCAGCCACATCATCCCAGAGGCTGGGCCCTGCTCCTCTGCTCCCACCGGCCTCCAGAGAGCTTGAGGGACCCGAGGCCCAGACACGGCCCACAGGACGAAACCCCGGCAGCAGCTTCTCTGTCACACCCGCTGAGACCCTCCAGCCCCCACAGGTGCTGTGGACCTGCCCAGGGGGCATGGCCTCTGCGGGGGGAGGAGGGCGAAGCCCTGTGGACTCACCCTCTCTCCGGGGGGGCCGTCCGGTCCTGTGTTCCCCTGGTGAGGGAGGGACAGAGAGGTCAGCTTGGGTGCGGGAGGGACAGAGAGGCCAGCACAGCCCTGGGTGGGGATGGGCCAGGGGCTCACCTCGTCACCAGCCTCTCCTTTCTCTCCAGGGGGACCAGGCTCTCCAGGCTCACCCTAGGGAGGACAAGGGTACCACCATCTGCCCAGGTCCTTGGCCGAGAGCCCCGTGTCCATCACACCCCGGCTCACGCGGTCCTCACCTCGTCTCCCGGTGGCCCTGAGTTTCCGGGTCTCCCAGCCTCCCCATCCGCTCCAGGTGCACCCTGGGGAAGGTCAGAGGGGTCACAGACGCTCGATGTTGGGGTGCAGCCCCTGGGGGTCACACCAGACCGTCCTGGGAGGAGTGGCCCCGTGCCCACCCTCCTCACCCAAGCTCAGTGCGTGCTGACCAAGACACGTGAGCCCCAACTGGACTCTTGGGCTCCACAACTGCAGGAACCTCCTGGACCATCAGGTTTGCCTCTCAGGTCCAGCCCCAACCCCTGACCTGACCGGGAAGGGGTCCACGCCCTGCAGCCCTGGCCTAGAGGGTCGTGTGCAAACTCAAGGACGAGACCCCAAACCATTTGTCCTCACATCTGGGGCAAAGTCACCCCTTAAACCTCCCAGTCTTCTGGCTTCACTGATGAACCCCAGAGAAACCCCACAACAGGACTGTGGGCTTCCACAGACCCGAGGCCCTCCACTGGGCTCCCCTGCTGGGCTACCAGGGTCCTGGACTTGCACCACAAAGGGAGGATTGCGGGGCGGGAAGCTGGCCTGTGGGCCTATGAAGACTGTTTCCCACCTCCCTGTCCTCACCCTGCTGCCCCGACCCTGACCAGGGAGGCTGGAGCCTGTGCGCGGGGCAGAGCGCTCCCAGAGGGCCTCACGGGCCACGGCCACTCACCTTCTCTCCCTTCAGGCCAAAGGCGCCGGCGTCTCCCTTGGGGCCGGGGGGGCCTTGGGCGCCCTGTGAGAAGTCAGCAGGAGACAGGTCAGGGCCAGCGGAGGCCGTGGGCATCCCGGGCGCACCGCCCGCGGCACAGTGTGGGCAGACTCGCAGAGCCGTGCAGGGGGCAGGAGGGCGGGGAGAGACTTACATCAAACCCTGGCGAGCCCTTGCACCCTGGAAGGCCTGGGTACCCCGTCTCCCCCTGAAGGAGGGAAAGGGTAGGAGGTGGTGGGCTGGCAGCCCGAGGCCCATCGGCTGTCACCTCCCTGGCTCCGGCCCGACCAGGGCCTCCAGGAGAGCCTCCCCTACCACCCTCTGAGCTTAACTGGGCAGCTTAGGGTCCCCTGGGACCTGGTTCTTGACAGGAAATACCCACAGGTAACACCTCGTGGCTTCGCATCACCAAGTCCTCTGGGAGTGTCCACCCTTGAGACCGCCCCTGCTCGTGGGGAGGGGTGGACAACTGGCTGTGCCCCTCCTCCCACCCAGCCCTCCCGTCCTGAGCTTACCTTCATTCCGTCCACTCCGTCAATGCCTCGCTTGCCTTTCTCACCCTGGGAGACAACAGGAGGGTGAGAGAAAGGCCAGGCCCAGGAGGGCCCCACCACAGCACCCGCCCACTCACCTTGTAGCCCTTGGGTCCCCTGGAGCCCTGCGGAGACAGGAAGGGAGAGTGAGAGGTGGGGCCCTGCCTGGCCTGGCCCCCACTTCAGTCCCGCCCAGCAGACGTGGTGGTGCAGGGAGCCTGGCAGAAGGCCCCTGGTACTGCAAAGTCACCCCTGAGCCCAAGGGAGTGCCCGCCACGGCGGGTGGGGGTCCAAGGAGAGGAGGTGGACAGGGAACCAACGAGGAGCACAGCCTGGGTGGGGTGACAGTGATGGGCCCTGGTCCCCAGCCCTTGCTGGCCCAGGGCCCAGTCCTGGAATCAGCCTCCTCCTCCCAGGTGCGCGGGTGGCGAGGGGCTGGGGCCGGTGTCCCCAGCGATGCCCATGGTCCAGGAGGGGTGCATGCTGCTCCATAAAGACGGTCCTGAGGCCCCACTCACCTTCTCCCCACGGCTCCCTTTCTCTCCCTGCAGAGGAAGCAGGGAGGGAGGGGGTCATGGCCCTGCGGGGGCTCCGGGCAGGGCCATGACCCACCCAGACCCGAGGGCCACTCTGGAGGAGGGGCACGCACCTTCATCCCCTGGTACCCGACTGGCCCGAGGTCCCCGGGTCTTCCCTGGAAGAGAGGAGAGGTCAGACACCCCTGCAGGGAGCACCAGGCCCCCAGCTGGCCTCACCCCTCACTCCCTCTCAGGCCTGGGTCCACGCCACTGGTGCTCGGCAGCCACCCTCCTTCTGGAAGTTTCTTCAGTCCACTCCCCAACCTCAGGCTTCCCATTCCCACCCCAGCCAGGGGCGGGCACTCACAGGGTCTCCGGCTTCTCCCTTCTCTCCTGGGAGGCCTGGCTTGCCTCGTTCTCCCTGGAGGACAGGCACAGCGGGTTAGGAGCTGGGAAAGCCCGCAGAGACCTGTCCAGTCCCTGAGGCTCAGGCCTGTCCACCAGGCCAGCAGGTGGTCCAGCACACACGCCCACAGGGAACCCCGGGCAGGCGGTGGACGTCTCCCAGGGTGTGAACGCTGGCCACTGACCGAGCTCAGGTTCACCTGAGCTGCGGCGCTCAGTCTCCCGCCCCACCCCACCCAGTCCACGCTCCTTCCTGGACCCACCCGCTGGGCCAGGCGCGGAGAGGGACGCAGGGTGCGGTGCCCGACACGAGCAGGGGCAGGTGCGGCACTCACCTCATACCCAGGGTCG